GGTTAGATTAGGGTCAGAGTCAGAATTATATAAAAAATACACAGCAAAATTTTGCAAGGAGCATTTTTGCTAAGACTAAAGATAAATTACAATTTGATTGGTTGATCACTGTTGCAAAAATTTTTTTCATAACATCTAAAGTCATCAGACGTTTGTATTTATAAAATGTATAAACTTCTCAACTAAAAAGCAAATATGGTGCATATCATCTAAAGTCATCAAAAATTTGTATTTTATAAAATGTATAAACTTTTTAGCTAAGAATTAAATACAAAATTTAATCCGTGAATATGATAGATTAATCACTTTCTGAGCATATTCACGGATTAAATTTTGTATTTGCTTTTAGTTGAGAAGTTTATCCATTTTATAAAATACAAACGTTTTATGACTTTAGATGTTATACACCATACAAAATTTAATCCGTGAATATGCTTAAAAATGACTATTCTATCATATTCACGGATTAATTTTGTATTACTTCTTAGTTGAAAAATTTATACATTTTATAAAATACAAACTTTTGATGACTTTAGATGTTATGCACCATACCCGCAGAATTAAGTTTATTTAATTCCTGTTTCCCACTGGATGTTTCATTTTTTGAATATGTGCTCCCGGTTTAATCGATCTCGGAAAATTCTGCTGTAATGTTAATTAACATTAATAATTGATTTTGAGGTTAGAATTAGAGGTAAAATTATATATATGTACAATTGCCTCTTTGACATTTTTTATTAGTGCACCAAGCTAGATTTTGGCATCTGTTTCCCGTATTTTTCACATTTTTCATTTTCTCGTGTTGGATTTGTTTGCCGGGGTGATTATACTATGTGTATCGTATCCATTTTCCCAACAAAAAACTCACGCTCACGTGGCGTAAACGCCCAGAAAAATAAATCTGGCTTGAAGCACTAATAAAAAATGTTGGGAAGGCAATTTTACATATAATTTTGTCCTCCACTCTAACACCAACCCAAATTATAAAATTGTCTTTAACGTTAATTTATATGATCACGTGAGCAGAAATTTTGTTGCAAAAAATTTTAATCAGCTTGGCAAAACAAATCAGACGCAACCTTTATCAATAACCTCTATACCTAGATTTTTTCTGACGATACAAAATATTACATGAAATGAACTTTTTTCGTCGTGGCTAGGGCATAAGTTTGATACAGTACGTTACACTTAAAGGAATAACAAAATACAGTACTATCGCTATATTAATTAAGTAAAATCTAACTTAACGAATCGAATTTAATATTTAGACTTCAAGTTACAAAATAATGCAAAGTTTTTTTTTCAAAATCTTTTGTGTATCGAGATATAGAAGTTTAAAATTAGGATAGTTAGTTTTAATGTTTATGGTGCATAAAATCTAAAGTTATCAAACGTTTGGATTTTGTAAACTGTATAAACTTCTTTACTAAGAAGTAAATTCAAAATTTAATCCGTGAATATGCTCAGAAAGGACCTATTTTATCATATTCACGGATTGAATTTTGTATTTACTTCTTAGTAAAGAAGTTTATACATTTTACAAAATATAAACGTTTGATGACTTTAGATTTTATGCACCATAGTCGAATTTTTGCCACTTAACTCTGGCAGAATTAACAGCATTTGCATAATGCCAGCCAGAATTATCATAATGCAAACCCAAACTATGCAGTAGCTCCAAAATTTGACATCTGGCGCAGTACTTATGGGACTAAGTGACATGCACTGTATATAGCAATTTTTCAAATCTAAAACATACATTGTTAGGTCGGTCCCAACATTCAATTTCAAACCATTATGCATCGTATTCATTATTATCTGAACAGCTTTGTTGACGCAAATATTAGCAAAATATCAAGCAATAGATAACTCATAATATGAAAAAAACATCATTCAGCCCGTTAAACTAAAATAAACAATTTTTTCTTATGATTTTGGAAACTGACCAATTCACATATGGTGCAGCATCCCTATAATTGACAGTAAATCGCATTAGGAAGCAAATTCAAAATTTAATCCACAAATATGGTCCAATCTATCATATTTGTGGATTAGATTTGCTTCCTAATTAAGTTATAAACTTTAAAAATGCAATTTATTGTGATAAATTATTGAAATTATAAATAAGAGTAATATGATAATTATCAATTAAATTTTCGAAGGAACAGCAACGATATATGCAGACGGGTATTGCTTCTGCCAAGACATATGAAGGGAGATCTTTGCTACATGTATTATATGAATATTTTTGAATATTTTATGTTTTTCGACTATTTTTGGAATTAACAGTTTTTATGTATATTATTACTGTAATAATATATCAATGAGAATTATTAGAAGTGCAAAGATAATCGCCAAAATTTATTGTTAAAATGGTAATTTTGAAGTTTACAGTAATGCTCCAACCAGGTCAGATCCAATCTGAGATCTGACCCGGAATGCATATTTCGGGTCAGGTCAGATTTGGGTCAAATCTGACCTGAAATAATTCGAATCAGCCTAAAAATCGTTATTTCTTATTCAATATTAATTGGAATTAAACGAAAATTTGTGGGTATATACACAATTACATTCCGAATAACTCTACTTAGACAAATACAAGTGTCTCAGTAAAAACAAAAAGTATTAACTAAAAACTATTTAACGATTTTTTGGATCAAATCTGATCCGAATCTGACCTAACCAAAAATTATCAGTTCGGTTTGACCTCAAATCTGATCCGACATGACCCGAACGGAGCTTTAGATTACAGCAATGCCAATTACTAAAGAAGAAATAAATTTAACTTTTTACTGGATGAAATTTTTTCTTTATTGTAATATCTAGATTTTTATATTTAAAATGATGAGATCTAGATGATTAATAATCTAACTCCTTGTATTATCTATATTAATAATTAATAATTAATATTTACCTATAGATTATTAATAATTGCTAGAATATTCTATTATAAATATAATTTCTTATATATACACATTATTATACTTTCAATAACAGTATAATTGATTATAATAAAGAAGAATTTACTTAATAATTATAAATAATCCTTCTTGAAGTTATATAAAAAACCTCTTGCATAACAATATATAATGTTATAATACAGAAAAATTATCTTTGCTTTTTATGCACCAAAGTAAAAAATTTATATTCTCTTAAAGGAATTGAAATAAAGTTTACCAGCTTGGTGTTACTGGAATGCAAAAGCATGAATATTACAATCAGTATTTGGTTACTATCTTTGACATTTGGATAATATAATGAAAAAACAAACTGAAAAATCATTTTATTGGCTGACAATGCTACATCTCACAAAACAGAAGCTATTATCAAAAAATTAACTAAAGTTAAAGTTCATTTTTGTTTTTCAACATGATCTCTGTTCCGCAACCACTTGATCAAAGAATTATATATAGTTTAAAGGTATATTTTATTTTATTTTATTTTCTTTTGTTGATAAACTTATATTTTAATATTCTTTTAGGCTCATTATGCAATATTTAGAGTCAATCTCTATGGATTCTTTACCTACATTAACCATATTGGATGCCATAACATTTTCAGCAAGGCATGAAATTAAATAACACAAAGTACAATTTAATTCTCTTGGATAAAGACGGAAATTTTGCCAACAACAATTAATCTTGAAATAGCAATAAGGCAAACGCAGAATTTGTGATAATAAATTTAATTAATACAGTAGCGGTTATAAGTATCCGACCGCCCGGCGTCGTCCAAAATTATATTTTAACAGCGCCTCAAATTTTCCAGGCATAAAATATAACACGACACCTAATAACTAGTACTTTTATAGGTTCGTGAAACATTTTTAAGGGGGTCTAGATGATCGTCGAATTTTCGTCTCAAAAAATGGCGCTTTCTCTCGATAGACGACATGAAATCTTGTTTTTACGCGAACACCCGGCTGGACAAAGTGGAGTTTCGGAAAAATAGCCAAACACGTTCGCTGTAGTAAGTCTACAGCCATTTATTGGGCCCAGAAATACCATAACAACAAGGACCTAAGTACTGAAGAAAGATCGGGTCGTCCACGTATTACAACGGCGAAGCAAGACGAACGAATAACGGAGATGGGCGAAGAAGGAACATAATATTACAGCCACCCAAATACAAAAAAATATGGAAGAACGGGGTCTTGAGATTAGCATGGAGACTGTAAAGCGGCGTCTTCGTGAAGCTGGAGGTAAGTATATAACGAAATTTCCAAACCTTTGCTCAAAGAAAGGCATCGGAAAGCAAGGCTGGAATGGGCGAAGAAACATCAAAATTTTGATTGGAACCGGGTCATTTTCACAGACGAGAGTACGTTTCAACTATATACCTCAAATAAAAAGTTTGGCCGTTCGTCGGGAGAAGAAAAATATTTCTTACCGTCAAGCATCCACCGAAAGTCCATGTTTGGGGGTGTTTTTCTTCTCGGGGGGGGGGGTTGGTGAGTTGGTATGCTTCCAACGGAATCTTGACGCAGATTTTATGTGTAGGATCTACGAGCGGGGTCTTCTAGCTTCTGCCTCCAAATATTTTGGCGATTGATTTCTTGGTTAACATTTTTGTTTATTTAATGACAGAGTACGTAGTTTGTCGTGTGCCATATCATTTACATGTTTTTCCAATTGCATGTATTCGCGTACACGATTTATGCATTATTGTTATCGTTATTAATGATTTTGTCTTTAAAATCGATTCTCAAATTTTAATCGATTATTAAATTTTAATTGATTCTACAGAATCGATCTTAAATTAATCGATTCTAGAGAATAGATTCCTATCCCTATATTAGTATAGCATGTTTTATTTGTCGTAAACTGGCATTAAAATTTCTATAAACAGTGTTTTTTCCACTAGTTTTAGTATCTTTGATAATTCGTGACTTTTGGGTAATATTAAATACTATGATCATAAAGAGCATTAACACTAAGATCTTCTTGTTAACAGAACAAAACAAAATAAAATAAAATAGAATCATCCAAACCGAAAACTTGTTACTTTTTTTTTAAAAAACTTTCCTCTTCATTAATATCCTCATCTCTAATCGCTGATACTATTTCCTTAAATTGAATTCTTTATCTTCATCACTAATTCAAAATCAATAAAATCACGAACACTGATATTTTATCTTCAATAGGTAACATAACATACAGTAGCGGTCATAAGTATCCGACCGGTTCTAGATGGTCCCACAGATAAGTGTATTTAAATTTTTTTTATTAAATACATTACTAAAATATTTAATACATTGTATAATCGCCATTTGATTCTAGGAATGCAACTACACGACGTTTCATACTATCTACCAATTTCACGGCAAGATCATTCGGGAGACGGTTCCATTCTTTCCTAAGTTCACTTTTTAATCCTTTAACTGTGCGAATTTTTTTTTGTATATTAATTTTCATTAACCGCCACACGTTTTCTATAGGGTTTTGGTCCGGAGACATCGACGGCCAGGGAAGTTCTTCGACGTTGTTTTCCGCCTTCCATTTCTTCGCGATTTTCGAACGGTGCTTGGCATCGTTGTCTTCTTGGAGGATCCAGTCTAAGCAACCCTCACTAATGCCAAAAGTAACTGATATGATCCAAATTTGAATGATATTTATGAAACAACAGGAAACGGATACAGAATCACAATCTGATGACAATACTTCAATTGCTTCTATACCATCTTCACCACGTAGTATCTCTACGAATTCAATTAATCAAACTTTAACTATTCCAACGAAAAGGGAAAAAAATTAAAACCAAAACCAAAGACCAGACATGTCATCACTTACTTTTATCGTCGTCATCATCGTCGTAATCTGTGCTTGAGAATCGATTCCTATCCCTATACCCAATTCTTTCACAACTTGCACGCAAATATTTGACAATTCCTGCCACATCTAAATGTCTATTTTCAGCTGAACAAAATCGATTAAATATGGTTCAAGTTATCTATACTCAAAATTTGTTTCAATTTTTAAAATCATTAAACTCAATGTAGAGACGAAATTTTCAAAATTTGACCAGTAACTTTGCTCTTCATGATAAGCTCTATAAAGTCACCGGTCAAATTTTGAAAATTTTGTCTCTACATTGAGTTTAAAGGTTTTATAAATTGAAACAAATTGTTGAGTATAGATTACTTGAACCATAGCTGTTTGGTAGAACAAATTATGTTTATTAAAAGAAACCGAAAATTTTTCCTAACGCTAATAAATAAAGTTGATTAATAATAAATTTCGTGTAATGCATTGAGAATCGATTTTGGGCTGAGAATCGATTCCTATCCCTATACTAATAGCTACAGTGACTCACACATGTAACCGAACACGAAAATTAACTTTCTAGCATTTTTATTTCCATGACTATTAGATTGGACAAAATAAAAAAGTGTTCATTTGAAACCCTGAAACCTCAAATATTTTTTAAAATAATTTGACAACAGATTATTTTGTGAAATAGAGTGGTTTAAATCAAAATTTACAATCAGTAAATTTCTCACATTGAAGAACTTTTTTTTCTATTACGGATCCAAATTTGAACCACTAATTAAAAATGCACTACTCTATGAAATCTACCTATTTACCAGTTTTCATAAAAATTGGCCCCAAATTCACCGAGATTTGAGACCCCGAAG